TTAGGGTTTAGGGTTCAGGGTTTAGGGTTTAGGGTTTAGGGTCTAGGCGAAGCCTTAGGCCCAAAACAAGCGCCTCACGCCCTAAGCCCAGTTTTTGTTGATGAGGGTATGCGGCCGCACGCATGAAACAGGATATATGTATATATACACACATATATATATATATACATATATATACATATATATATATACATAGGAGTACAAGATATCAATCTGTGTATTTGTATACATATATACATATATATATATATATATCTATGTATGTATAGTATATAAAAGATGATATATGTTTTTTTATTGTTCTATCTGCAGGTTTGGGGTTGCCACCCTTGCCGTCATCCTGAACGCTCATGGGCCTATCCCACACTTTCAGGACGTACGATGTGGGTACCTCCAGACCAGCCCCAAGCCGTACGCCGAAGGATTCCGGAGACGATGCAAGTTTAGGGTTTAGGGTTTAGGGTTTGGGTTTAGGGTTGAGGGTTTAGGGTTGAGGGTTCAACCTAACCCCAACCCCCGAAAACACATCCTGGGCTCAGGTTTTTAGGCTGCGGGGCGCGGAAGCAGAGAAGTGTGGTGTTGAGTCAATGAAACCCCAAACCCATTGCCGGAACTGTAAACCCCAATCCCTAAGCCGGCCCTTCCGGAAATCTGCGCGCCCGAGGCAAGCAACCAACATGGGAGGCGGCACGGGGGGGCTCCTGCCAAAAGGGCTTTGAGGGTTTTGGGCCGAGGGTCGATGGTCGAGAGTTTAGTTAGGGGTTTGGGAGTTTAGGGGTGCTAGGGTGGAGCGTTTAGTGTTGAGGGTTGAGGGTTTGGGGGTTGGGTTCGGGGTTCGTCCTGAATCTCTGAGGCCTCGACACCTAAACTGGAATAAACTGGAGGGGTTTAGGGTTAATCATTGAGCCTCTGAATTGATCCCCCTAAATCCTAAGGCCTCATAAGCCCAAAACCCTATGCCCTAGCCCCTAAGCCAAACCCTCCAGGCGTTAGTTGGTTTGTTGTTTGGGGTGCTGATTCTGGCTCGGGGCGCAGTGTGTAGCTATGGTTACGATTACAACCTACCTATCAGCCCCTTACGTACCTAACCCTAAACCCTAACCCTAAACCCTAAACCCTAAACCCTAAACCCTAAACCCTAAACCCTAAACCCTAAACCCTAAACCCTAAACCCTAAACCCTAAACCCTAAACCTTAGACCCTAAACCCCAAACCCTAAACCCTAAAGCGATCGTTGCGTTAAGAAGTCGGCTTGGGAGTGGGCCATGTTCAGCTTGAAGCCCTGAAACACCGAAGTCCCAGCAATCTCCACAAGTTTTCCTGAGAATCGTTTAGGGTTGAGGGTTGAGGGTTTAGGGTTTAGGGTTTAGGTTTTAGGGTTTAGGGTAATTCCTATTAAGGTACTTGGTAGCCCAGTGGTACCCTTTAGCATGTTTTTGGTTCTGGGTTCCCTTATAAAGTAAACAAACACCAAAAGGGTGCCCTTATTGTAATATGGTTACTGGGCTACTAAGATGAACTCAGCAACTAAGTTCAGGATTTACTCCAGTTCCGCACCCCCGCCCTGCCACACCCAACCACAAACTACCCGAGTTGCTACGAGGCGGTGCATCCAAGTTCGACGCACATCGGAAGAACCTGTGCAAAGTCGCAATCACAGGCAGGCTCCCACTGTGTCTCCGAAGCGCTAAGCTCTAAAACCTACACCCCCTGATTCTAGATTCTAAACCCAAAACCGTAAACCCTAAACCCTAAACCCTAAACCCTAAACCCTAAACCCTAAACCCTAAACCCTAAACCCTAAACCCTAAACCCGAAACCCTAAACCCTAAACCCTAAACCCTAAACCCTAAACCGTGGACGAAGTTCCTGGTCCAGAGGATACTTGGGGGGGGGTGAAGGTTGGTAATACGGTTTAACGGCTTAGAGGATTGAGGACTAAGGGGTTTAGGTTCTACAGGGGTTCAGGCTCAGCCCTAATACAGTCTACCACCCTTAACCTGGCGATTTCTACGGATGGTTGGAAAAACTCCCGGACAAACCGTGCAAATTAGAGACTCCCCCCCCCCTCCCCATATCAGTATCCCCAGAATTGACAAGAAGGCGTGGAACATTGGGTCGTTTAGGGATTCAGGGTTTAGGGCTTAGGTCTTAGGATGCTGTTGAATGTTCGAGGATGTTGGGGATGGTGCAGGGGAACTTCGCGCCCCAAACCCTAAACCCTAAACCCTAAACCCTGAACCCTGAACCCTGAACCCTGAACCCTGAACCCTGAACCCTGAACCCTGAACCCTGAACCCTGAACCCTGAACCCTAAACCCTAAACCCTACACACTAAATAGGGAACCCCCCCCCCCCTCCCACCACCCCAAGAAGAAGCTCAGAAGTCAGGAACGCCTCAACCTCACTGAAGCCCCCGCCTTGGGGGAGGTTTAGGGTTTAGGGTTTAGGGTTTAGGGTTTAGGGTTCAGGGTTCAGGGTTCAGGGTTCAGGGTTCAGGGTTCAGGGTTTAGTTTTGAGGGTTGAGGGTTTCGGGAAGGGAGTCTGGGCTGAAGCACCTTATCATCCCCCTACATAGCCCCTTTACGGGATTGTGCAGGGTTCGCTCCTTCCCTCATTCCCATTGTTCTAATGGAAGTTGCATGGTCCCTTGTTGTGGTCCCCTGCCTTCTTTTAAAGGTTGTATATGAAGGGTATCATAAGGGTTATACACGGGGTCCGCATTTTGGGGCCCATATTCAGGGACCATGCAACTACCCTTGGAGGTTACCCTGAGCCCTAACCCCTAGGCCCTAAGCCCTAAACCCTAAACCCTAAACCCTAGACCCTAAACCCTAAACCCTAAACCCTAAACCCTAAACCCTAGACCCTAAACCCTAAAACCTAAACCCTAAACCCTAAACCCTAAACCCGAAACCCTAAACCCCTAATCCAGAAAAGTTGAGAGGCTCCACCGGGTGGAAAGACAAG